TTCTGGACTGAAGGTATTAATACAATTTGTTATCTAGTTAGCTGATCTCCATCGACAGCTATCAAGTGGAAAACTCCTTAGAGATATTGTCTGGTTCTCTTGTAAAGAACACTGTTTTAAGAGTGTTTGGTTGTCCTGGTTATATTCATGAGAATGATGCTAACCTTGAGCTGAGGGAAAGAAAATGAATATATCTAGAGTATGCAGATGGGGTGGATTACAGACTATGTCGTGTTTGTTAAAAACCACTCAAATGTGTCCTTAGCAGAGACGTGAACTTTAATGAGTCTATTATGGTCAAGTCCAAGAAGGAGAAAGACCACGGTGTCAGTAAACAAGTCGAGCTTGAAGTAGAAGTTTCACATAACTTGCAAAAAGATTTTCAAGATGTAGAAGAGGAACAAGACTCTGATGCGTCGCCACAAACTAAGGTGGAGGGAGAGCACATATCACGTGTTCTTTACGCTAGTGCAGTTGGAAGCATTACGTATGCTCCGGTTGGCACAGGGTCATACATTCCACATGTTGTAAGCATGGTAATTAGGTATATGGATCGATCTAGTAAGATCTGTTGGCTGGCTATGAAATAGATATGTTGTAATTTTATTGTTTTGATTTGTAATTTATTCTTTTGCCAATTCACGATATAGGTTATAGATTTTAGTTTTAAAATCATCGTTAAGGGTAGTATTGCCACCCAAGAATAATTTTGTATTTTTAAGATGTTACCACCACACATACTGAGAGCATTTCCAAATCAGAATTTTTTGAAAGTCCATCCTTCAAAGTCCATCTATAAAACCCATCCCTAAAATGGACTTTTCCTATGAAAAGTTACGTCAACCACAACCCTAGTATTTGAGTAGTTTTTTCGATAAGGTAGTATTTGAGAAGTTAGAACTTGAATATTTAGTAGTAACTAAACTAAAATACTTGATTTGGTTTTTATATTGTTCGTCTCGCTTCGTTTGTCACCTAGGCTTCAGGATACCTGAACGCTAAGGTTCGTTTTACACCTTAAATAACACTGTATTAACTCCACGCAGTCAATGCTAGAAAAAACCACTAAAATGCCATTCATGCATATTTAAGTATTGATTCTATCAAGCCAAGTCATTTTGTATTAGTGTGTACTAGTTCCATGCTTCTCTTCACAAATAGGATCTCATACCTTCAAAAATCTCTCTCCCTCTCTCCTTGAATTTTACCACAAACCATTGCTCTCTAGGATTCATCATCTTGGCCCATGATTTCCTTCCTAACACTATACTCCAAATAATGTGTGACTGCCGATTTGAAATACATTAACAGCTATGCCCATGCTCCACAAGCCACGTCTTGTGCCATCCACTACACGAAGTCATCCACTTCATGTTGTTGGAGGGGGGGGGCGGGAAGTCAATGGTTATCTTGTAAACTAACAATAATTTAGTAAGAAAGGTAGTAATTGACAATATTAACAAACCTTAGTATAAAAAAAAAAAAAAAGAAATTCAAAATATTGTATGAAATAAGAAAAATACAAGTGATAAAAACAAAAAAGCAGCCCTGAAGTTGGTAGGTGGCATTGCCTAAAGGATAGAAAACACTCATATAAATATCTGCTTCTAGGCTCCTAGAATTTCACAATTAGGGACTCTTGCTTTTACATCTTTCCCTACTTTTTGTTAAGATGCATTACTCCATAAATTTAGTGTCAATTATGTAAAAATTTAGTTTATGCAGACTAAATGTCTCAAATATTTTCTGAATATAGTCACCACATAAAATCAAAAAATACAAGCTTCCTTCACTTACCTGCTTGGTGTGCCACTAGCAATATTAACACGATTCTTCAAAAATGCCACCTGGTATTATAAGAGAAAATCATAAAATTATTCTCCAAACGTTAGACTGAAAAGGGAAAACCAGAGGGAAGCCAAAGTCGGCTAGTCTTGTGTGGTTATTTTCAGTTCATTATCGCAACTTATGTATCAAAAATAAAACTAGCCAGTAAAACACGTGTGCGAACACACACTGGGATGATACAAACATACTTTAGGTTCTTTACAAAGCTTATCCCATGCAAACTGTTAAAAACATTATCATGTCACCGCAAGTAACAGAAAAAAGGAAATTCTTATCCATGCAAAATACGCAAGTGCATACGTGGGCATAAACAAAATCAACAAACGCCCATCGTGTCCGTCAAAAGATGGCCCCTACGAATTAGGAATGTGCATATACCAAACTATATGGATAAAATTCATTAATTTCTGATATGTTAGTCTTCACATTTCTTTCACCAATCAGAAAAAATTCTGCCAGGTCAAAATTGATGCTGAAGTAAACCCAACAAGACAGCCAATCAAAATGAAAATGAAAATTAAAATTAAAAAAAAAAAAAAAAACAAATCCATTAGCACAAGATGGACAGAAAGAAATAAACATCTGATTATACAATGATATAAGACTTTGTTTTGACTACGAAGTCCTAATCACAGTTCCTGAGTGCTAAAGAAAACAACATAAATTATCCATTTATCAGTGTGTTTCGTAACCTTTTTCATGTCTCACTTGCTCATTTAAAATTCATGCACCTCCAAATATAAGACATGGTCTCTAATTGGACAGGTCAAAGGACAGTTTGAACCTTAGATTCTTCATCCAAACCAAGCACCATCGTAAGAATTTTTGACGAATTTTACAGCGCTTGATAGTCATGGTTCACCACCTCAAAAAGATATGATCTTTTTCAGACTAACAAAAAAAGTACTCAGTTTTCTTGAAAAATAATATTTAACATCGCTTATTTGGTGGGCTGAAGGCATGAACTTATTTTCTTGTCAAAGGCTTGTGTAGATGCAAAAGGGTGAATTTGCCAAAAAAGGAACTGACTAGAACAGACATTGTTTCTCTATGGACATTACAAGCAGAAACAGACTAAAACTTGTCATAGGACATTACTAAATCGAGATCAACATCAAATGAGCCTTGTTAAATAATTCAACACTTCAAAATAGAATACAATCCAGTCTAACTCTAACATAGATTCAGTACAACAGACCTTTGAATTTTAGAAACTTACTAGGCAAGTTAAAACCTTTCGAAACAACAAATAATAACCATCATATGTGACTAAAATCTCTCAAAAGTATGCTACACAAAATTGATGACATTTTACTCAGCCAACATTATGTGGTTCACAACAATCCTGGCCTTATAGCTAAATTAAATATTGTCAAGTAAAAAGTTCTTCAACCGTGCACTGGTTGGAAGCAGTCTTCGCCTAAGTTGATTGACTCTAATATTCATTATCATCAAAGGTTCCATACAGGACTCACCTGATCCTCAACCTTCATATGTTTAGAGAAAAGCTTTGCAGCATGGCATTCTCCGGTCAAAGGCCGCAAACCTCTATAAGAGAAAAAAGTAGATCAAATATAGGGATGGAAAATAGTGTGCAGCGCAATTTTTAGAAGATAATCACACCAAAGCAGAACTTACTATATGCAGAAATACTGGGATACTAAAAGTTTAAGATACTATCTCATTTGGCATGTATTGAACAAAATACACCACACCTGAGGAGTTCCAACGATCTTAAGGCAGATAAGCTAATCACGAGAAGTGCTGGATTTCCTGGTTCAATATTTCCTTCTAGGACCTGCTTTTCAGAAAGCACTTCTTTCCATGACAATCCAAAAGCAGCCTTCATATGTTCACCAAGAGTGCTGGCCTCTTGAGAAAGGCTTTGAGATAGATCAACAAAGCATGTATCTGCATCATACAAAGAAACCCACCTAACCATAGTTGTTAAATCGTGTATCGGAAGGCGTATCGTTTTTAAAAATAATGTATCGTATCGTGTATCATGTATCATGTATTATGTATCGTAAGTTACGTGCAATTTTAATTTTTAAATAATTATTAATAAAATCTATGTATATACCTTTATAAAAAAGTCATACACTCATAATAACATAGTATTTCATTAATATTCCACCAATTATTCAAGTTTCCAACATAGTTCAATAATATCAAAATGCAAAGGTCTCTAATTCAAACTTCTAACATCAACTAAATGAACAACTTTAATATTAATTTCTTTGAATTCAATTAAACAACATTAACATTAAACTTTATTTATTTATTTTTAACTATAACCACTGAAACGACATTGTTTTACTAGGTAGGGATTTAAAAATAAGTCTTAGGGTAAAACAATGTCATTTCAATCCCAAAAAACAAAAAATAAAAATAAAAAAACAGAATCATCACGTATCGGGCGTATCGTACGATACGATTCAAAGACACGATACGTATTGTTTTTCAAGTGTATCGTGATGTATTGTACGATACGTATCGCGTATCATACGATACTAACAACTATGCACCTAACAATTTCCTTTCCAGATGATTGCACATGTATGTTATAGTACATATAAAATAACCATAAAAGAAAATAATTCAAATGAAAAATCATTGCTAGAATTTGAGATCCTTTCCTTGAGACAGTTCATACGCAATTCAAAGTTTTCTGTAGTCAATTTCTATGAAATAGAGCGACAAGTATACCCCAAATTCAGGCTCTGTGGAACCTATGAAAATTAATATTTGGGACGGATTGATATTCCGTAAGAATCCTGACTCTCGCAGGACAATCTTAAACACCAAGTTATGTTACAACCTAAACCATACCGATGCATAATTTTCCCTTTAGTGACATGTTTTCTGTTCATAATCCTTTAAATTAATAAATTGCAAGGTAATTTTTCATATTCATATATTACAAACATCCCATGTCATCCACATTGTCCTTCATATCAAGACAGGAAATAAAAGATCAATGCATTTAACATTGCTTGGTATGTGCATCTAAGATTAGTTCACAAACTCACATTAGAATTGTGAGATGCAGTGTAATGAAGGATAAATTTACAGACCATTGACTGATACAGCGAATTGTTAATTTTATGGTGAGTTTTAATTAGGGAAAGCTTCTAACATTTAGATTCAACAATGTAGAAGCAAGAGTGTAGGTGTGAATAAGCAATGGAATCAACTTCATTTTAAAAGTAAAAGGTTGCAAGATAGCTGTTTAAAACAGGGCAATCATTTTGGGGGTTTTAAGTGTTCACTGGCCATAAAGGTAGGTGAAAGAGTTAAGGTCCACAAAGAGCTTTATATATGTTGGGAAATTTGGCAAAAACTAGGAGCTTCTCTGGCGGTATGTTTATGCTTCACCCTCACAAGGTTCAAACTACATCTCATGCTCAATCCCATTGAGTTCAAGTTATGAAAAAAAATCGATGGTGATATAGGTGTGTCAATTCCAAAAGAACCAAGACTCGAAAAAGGAAACATGAGAATTTTGTATAGCTAGAATTTTGTAGACCAAATAAACACCACATAAGAGGCAACAAAAAATTTGGCTAGAATAGGCTAACACAACCACAGCCCATATCTGAAATTAGCAATATGCTCCTGACTCCTAGAACAAAAGAAATAGCAAAAAAAAAAACCATGTCTAAAAAATCTTGAAACTACCAGTATATCTTGACTCCTAGAGCAAAACAAACATCCATAAAGCCATGTTTGATAAATCTTGAAATTAACAGCATACTCCTGACTGCTAAAGCAAAATAAACACCTGAAAAAACCCATTCCACCTGTACCCAAAATAAACATATAGCAAGTCTTATTACATCCGGCACTTGAGTACATGAGCTCTCAAGCACATAGATATTCCCCCTCATTCAAACTAGAAATCATACATGCAAAGAAACATATCACAGCTCTAAAAAGCAATTTAAAAAAGACAACATATGAACAAGAGAAAATGGTCAGATTTATCAAACAATAGAATCTAGCCAAATTAATTCACACAGGCACAGATGCAATAAGGCAAGTACAGATGCACCGAGAGTATAGTTATCAAAATCGTACGATTCGCGATTCGATTCGTACAATTCAATTCGATTTAGTTCCCATTCAATTTGTATCTTACAATAGAATCGTTTTTTGTCGAGAATCGCACCTGAATTGTAAGAATCATAAGATTTGGTTCGAACCATACAATTCGCAAGATTCGTTTTATTATTTTTTTCAACCCTATTTCTAGTAAAACGACGTTGTTTTGCTACAAGAGAACCACCGCCAAATATAAAACTTGCGTCTCTCTCTAGATCTCTTATTCAAGTGTCTGTGAACATCACACAAAGACGTCTCCTTCACTCCAGGTATGTTTCTTCTTCTTCTTCAAAAACAATTACCAAACCTTAACATACGCTACTTCTACTTCTACTTCTTTAATAAATGTTCTATCTTTTGTTTTTCATCAAAATTTTATTTTTTAATCAAATGTGAGAAGTGATTTTCTAAGTTTACATGTTCGAATCAGTATGAATTTTTCTTATTTTAGTTTAATTCATTGGTATGAAGACAATGGCTATTTATTGGTTAAAAATTATGCATTCTTTCATCGTGGCTATTTTGAGAAAACAATTTATTATGCATTAAAAAATAAGTAACAGAGGTATAAATTCAAGTGGAGTATTATAAAGATTTATAAAAACTAACATCTGTCCATTTGGATAACGTGACTATGTCAATACCAACAATTGATTATTTTTAAAATACAATAATGTTCAATAGTTAATATCTCACCTATTTTAAATATGTACATGTTATTTTTTATCATTGTTCGATTTTTGTGCCGAATATTACGATTCTTAATTTTCAAATCTAGGATTTTGATTTCCGATACGAATATCGATTTGATAACTATGACCGAGAGAGAGAAAGAGGAAGACTTTATTACTATTTTATTTATTATGTTTTGTTGACACTCCCACGTGTGTCTATTACAAAAAAATTGTTCATATACGAGATTTTGATAAATATCATGCTACTCTGCGGATGTATAGAAATTGTTCATGGCCCAATAAATTGATGTTAATGGCTATACAATTTTAGGTATCAAAGAAGTTCACTGATTTTGTATGCTTTTTATAGGTTTAATATTTATGTAATCTTTCAATGGGAGTTTAGTTTGGGTGTGTACTTGAATACCTTGCGTGTATATGAATTCTGCCCCATTACCGCTTTTAGTCCAATTAGTGAAAACTCCAATATAGAGAGAAATTGTTACAACATAAACAAACATTTCATACGAATAAAAAATTAAATTATAATACACTTCTCACCCAACTTATGAATTCAAAGTAACACCGCAACACGGAAAAGGTAGTGAGTCATATTTTAGAAAAACAAAAATTCATTAGGTTCCAGGCTGGTAATGGTGGACTTGGATCAAGACTAGAAGGCTAGTCAATCACAATTGAAGCATGAAGGGGACTCCAAGAATGTGGGTTCCACGGCTAGTTAGCCATGGGATTTGCACAAAGGTTTTGAAATGAACTTTGGCTGTTACAAAGGGCTTGAGACTGGGGCTTATCTAGGTTAAGCACGGATAAGATGACAGTGGCAGTGGGAGCCCAACCAAGTTACAATGAAAATAAAGGAATTGCACTGAATAGGATAATGTTTCACAACTACAGTGATCCGAGACCATTTCAAATGGACTCTTTCAACTGGGAACCTGGACCTAGCAGTTTGAGTTTCCAAGGTGGTGATGGGAAAGGTATGGTGACAGTTTTGACAAAAGGAGAATTGTGAAAGAAATGTGTTTGTTTCAAGTATGGCCGCACGGCTATAGCCATCCAACCAAAATTATGTAGTCCAATCAAATTTCTAATACTCCGCCATCCACCTTGGAAGATAAATGAACCGTTATTGAGAGATGTCTTGTCAAAAGAAAACCAAACAAGAAAAAAAAATCTACTAACCCCATAAGGCCTTGGGCAAAGCTCTCCCTTAACTCTCTATTTTGTATTCCTAAAGTAATCAATTTAAATCTGTGTGTCTACTACATCATCCATCGCGTGAACATGAATAAGCCAGTACATCATCAGTTGTTCTCGAGGACAATTTCAAACAGTATTTTCCTAAAGCAATACACTACCGTGCATGTAAATGATGACCACCCAATGACCTCCATGTAAGAGTTCTGTTATTTGCATTGCATATTTACAATATAACTATAACCTGTAACAAAGTCATAATGAACCATCCCACCTCATCCACACTTCTACTTCTGCAGTAGTATAAATAAATAAATATGCATATATATATAGACACACACACACACAGAAGTGTGTGTGTGGGGAGAGAGAGAGAAAGAGAGAAGCACCTTTGATAGATTCGAGTTCGAGAGAAGAAAGCTGGACGCCGTTGGCCGATTGATACTGACTAAGAAAGAAATTCATCTGCTGCAACGCCGTTGGTGATTCTATTACTACATTTTTGCTCTCATTGCGTTTGATTTTGGTGTTTTTGATCTCAAGTTTGCTGGTTTTGTGTTTGGTGTTCTTGGACTTCTTGGTCTTTGCTCTGTTAGGTCCCAGAGGTAATCGCTTGCTTTTCTTGTTAGGGTTTCGACTGCGAAGAGGATGAGGAGTTCTGGTTTTCGAACGCTTGTCTGGCTTCCGGCTGCCCATTGTTCTGCAAGTTTCTGAACCAGAAGAGAAGAAGACGGCTTCTGAGTTTCTCTGTGAAAGGGATTTTATACCCAAACAGATGTCCAAAACGGAACCGGATCCTGTCAACGTTATGGAGATTTTCACCGGTCTATCAACTATTGCGTAAAAAGGTAATTTTGAAGCAAGACTTTTTAAAAATAACAATAATTAAAAAATTTGAAAATACAATATTTTGATATAAAATCAGTATCTATAATAAGAGTACCTT